CAAATGATTGTGAGCGACGCGAGAGCTTTTCAAAGTACGTTAAAAATGCAAATATTTGACCTTCCGTCGTCAAATTTCGATTTACGAGTTAGACGTATATTTTAGCATGAGCCGCATGACTTGACCTATATTAAGTTGAAATAGACACAGGGCTGATAATTTCGAAATGTTCTAACCTTATTTGCTGTAAAAGGCAGGTCCAAACGCCGATTTGACGTGTTTCTCTCACCATTAGTCGCACGCAAAGCAGAAGTTTGCTTTTGTTTACACAACGTCCGATGTACATCGCCAACTGTGAACTTATTTAAAGGTCGAATATCATTAGTGTGACCATCTTTCGGTGCATATGATCACCACTGCATCTATTTCAGAAACGGCTAAGTCATTTGTCGATAGTTGCTTGCTTTGCACTGCGCCAAAATATATATTATATTACGTTTGATCGATTACTGACCACTGCTGATAAGCGTGTCGGCGCAGTACAATCTTTAATACAGCCGTTATTTTTCGTCACGCAATGCTGTCACGACATACGCTGCTCATTTTGATCTATTTTGTCTAGAACACTCTCAGGATAAGTGAAACAATTTATTCATTGTTTACCTGTTCATATATATAATAATATGCGTGTATTTATCTAATCGTATTCTATAGTGTACGTGGCCTCGGTCCAAATCGCGTTTGTTGTACTTTCTGATGTTTCACACAACAGCTGACGAACCTTGTGCCTGTACTCACTATAATTTCAAAAAAGTCGCCATACACAAATTATAGATTAATGAAGCAAGAACTAGCTGAAATAAAAAAACTAGCTTGCCTTCTAGCTCTAGCTTCTCTTGAGAGAAGCTAGAGCTAGAAGGCAAGCTGCCTGATTATTACTGCAGATTTGTTGACGACACTCTCACTATAATGCCCAACATTACTAAAGCTACGGACTTTCTAAACACCCTGAACCACGCCTATCCCTCTGTCAGCTTCACAATGGAAATCGAAAAGGATGGCATGCTCCCCTTTCTTGGCACCCAGCTCCTAAACCGTGCACCCCAAATTGAGAC